TTTCTCTTGGTTCTTCTTCATTTCCTCTTGGGTCTTACTCATATTGTCAAATTTGTCTTCCATTCTTTTTAGCCATCTTATAATCATTACTCTGAATTCCTGCTCTGATAGGTTGCTTGCCTCTAACTCATTTACTTCCTTTTCTGGTGATGCCTGCTTTTCTTTCACTTGTGGGCTTTCTTTGTCTCCCCATGGTCTCTCTTTTCAGGTTGTCTGGTTATGTAGATCTCTCTCTCCTGCGTTGATTTAAAGGCACAAAATACAACATAATCAGGTACAACACAGAAAACACTGAACAGAAATGTGTGATATTAATAACCTCCAATAAAGTTGACCACTAGGAAAAGGCAAATTAGGGGATAGGAGATAAAGAAGAAGAGTAAAAAGAAAAGATGGAGGGAGCAAAAGAAAAGATAGGGGAAAATTATATATATATACATATATATATATATATATATATATATATATATATATATATATAATTATATATATAATATATATAATATAATTATATATATAATATATATTACATATATTATATATATAATTATATATATATATATATATAATATATATTATATATAAATTATATATATATATAATTATATATATATAATATAATATATATATAATTTATATATATATATAAAATTATATATATATATAATATATATATGAATTTGAAAATGAAATTGGGAAACAGGGAGAAGAAAATGAGAGAGAGAGAGAGAGAGAGAGAGAGAGAAGAGAAGAGAAAGAGACTAAGAGATAAAAGGGGAATAAACTATATATATGGGGAGAGAATTTCAATAGAACAACCACTAACCCCAGCAAATTCTGGCAGCAGTACCTGGAGAATAATACAATCTACAACACCCACTAATATCCAGCAAAGGAAGGGAAAATAGAAAAAAAAAATAAGAAAATACCAAGCAACAGGAACAACAAAAAAATAAGCAAAATACTCCCACTAGAGAGCATAAAAATACAATATAATCAACATTCCCACAAACAGCATCAAAAGGAAAGAGAGGAAAACAATTTTTTTTTGCTAGGTAATACAGCTCAGAGATGGGTGTGTATGCACTTGGCACAGTGGATTGGAAATTAGATATATAAGTGGAGCAGAAATTTTAGCAGGGGGGAGACAGAAAGAGTAGGGAAAATCTAAAGCAGGAAAGGGTTAAGATAAACAGGATAGCAAAAGGGGGAAGTTTAGGAAGAGAGTGATGGTGTAAAGGTCGTGTTGAGATAGGGTTAAACAATGTTAAAGGAGAAATGAAAATAAAATGAAGAACACTAATTCCAATGTAAAATAAAGAGAAAATAAAATGGCACTTAAAAATTAAAATAGCAGTAGTAATAATGCTGATTTAACCTGAAAATGTAATAATTCAAAAGTTAAAATCAAGTGAGGAAAAAAGGAAAAAAAATTGTTTCTTAAGTATAAGATACAAAAAATGAAAATAAAATAAAAAATTAAAAAATAGCAAAAAAAAGTGTGCAGTTGTGAAGGCCATTCACTTCTTCTGTTATTCTGTTTGGAATGCCTGTTTCTCAGTCCAGACAGTATTGCAGTTCCCTGCATTCTGCTGCACCTCAGAGTTGTAAACTAGTCCTTGATTTTAAGATGGTGATTCCTTTGTTTCTAGGTTTTTGATCAAATAAAACTAGTAATAAACACAGTCAGTTTGTACTCCAGCTCCTAGGTGGCATTGTTTCTGGATTGATGTCCCTGTCTTTTGGCTGCTCTAGCCTTCTTTTTCTATGGCATTCAATACAGTTTTTTGTTGTTGTTGTTTTTGTGTGTTTTTTTTGTTGTTGTTTTTTTTTTTTTTGTTTTTGTTTTGTTTTTTTTTTGCCTCAGAGCTGAATCTCGGATGATTTCTCCCTGCTCTGCTTCTCAGCTTCCAGAAAAGCAGTTTCCCCCTGCTGTCTCTTAGGGCCAGTCAATTTGGGTGGTCTCTCCTTTGTAATCAGAAGCAAAGGGTTGGAGAGGAACCAGCCTAGGTGCTTGATGGGTTAGTCTGTGCGCACTTACAAACAGACTGCATACCTTTCCAACTCCTATGTTCTCCCTCCGTGTCTGATCAGAATGGGTTGCTCCCTAGAGAACCCCACTATTATCAACCTTGAGGATCCCCGTCCACACTCTCGAATCACGCCAGACCCAACAGCAGAGGGCTTTTGTGGACACAGATTTCCGCGGTCCCAGTGCATGTGCTTTTGCCTCTGCATCTTCTGTAGCTGCTGCTTTTGCTCTTGGGTCACTACACCCCACGTTATCCCTGGCAAAATCCAACCTTTCTGTGTCTGCACTGGTCGGGGCCCCCACAGTTGTGGGTTTTTTTTCAGGTCTCAGATAAGATCCCCAGTTGCAGCACTGATGTGGTTGTGAGAAGCAGCGCATACAAGTGTTTACCAATATCAATTTCTTGACATCAATAAAATGCCAGAAACAAAATTAACTGAATGTACATCAAGTGGTGAAATGTGACATTATATTATTTAATACTAATATATAAATTATAAAATTTGGTTACAGAAACAACAAGGGAGTTAAGAAACTAATAATACCATAGCAAAATTCAAAATGGAATTAAAATAAGTAAATAGTATCACCATTGCAGAAAAACAATCAGTGACATAGAGGACTAATATGAGCCTCTCTCAAAACTCAAATAAAAAGGTAAAGAAAATGAAAATGTTAACAAAAAGTAAATATAAAAGAGGGGAGAAAGAGATGAAAGTTATAAAACATCATAAAGAAAAGATAATAGCAAATAAAATTAATATGACAGAAGATAAAAAAATATATTGGTTTAAAAATATGTGCCCCTATAAACTGATGGAAATCATTAAATTCCAAGCAAAATTAATAATGATTAACACCTATAATTATGTAAAAATTCTTGGATGGGGGAAAATACAAATATCTAAACAAAGAATAAATCTAATTATTATAATAAAGAAAATAAGGTATATATAAAGAGGTAATACACAAGTTGCCAGTTACTGCATCACAGTAACAACTGTTCAACAGGCTGGGCAGGGCTGTAAGCAGTGAGGGGCAGGGCTATGTGCTCAACCAGTCACCAGGAGATGCATGGAGCACCTCTAGGTCCCCGCCCCCACTCTCTCTGGCTGAGACCTTGAGACAGAAAAGCTAACTGCCCTTGGTCCTTGGCGCCAGCTAGAGTAGCTGCCCACACTGTGTCCAAAGGGAGACAGAAAATACGCCTGCCTGTGGTCTGGGTACCAGCCTGTTTGGGGGCCAGGGCCTGTGGCTGGCTGCACCCTGGGAGATGGAGAAGCAGCCCAACCTGAGTTCCCAGGCCGCAGCCAGCCAGAGAAGCCATCAGCCCTTAGCGTCTATGGCTAAGAAGATAGGTTCCCTCTTCTCCCACTGCAGTCATTACTCCAATATTCCCCTTCTGAATTTCTCTCTGCTGCCCTGACCCAACTCCACTTTTCATCTGAAGAATAGGGAACAAAGAGAGCAATGTTAAAAGCTTACATTTTTATGCAGGCAACGTTGGTACTTAAACATATAAATGGACCTGAAACCGGTTTGGCTCAGTAATAGAGCATCGGTCTGCGGACTGGAAGGTCCCAGGTTCGATTCCAGTCAAGGGCATGTATCTGGGTTGCGGGCAGATCCCCAGTGGGGGGTGTGCAAGAGGCAGCTGGTCCATGTTTCTCTCTCATCGACGTTACTAGCTCTCTATCTCTTTCCCTTCCTCTCTGTGAAAAATCAATAAAATATATTTTTTAAAAAAACCAAAACATATAAATGGAAAATTAGAGTCATTAAGGTAACAAAGGCTAGAAAGGGAGGGGACAGGGATAGGGTAAGACATTATATCCAGCAATCCATGTGGGAACTGAAAATTTTACAATAATGACAATCAGTGAAGATATGAATCAACTAAAATAGTTGACAAGGACAATTCTTCCATCTTTAAAAATATCTATATCAAGTCTGTTTAAATAGATTTTCATCTGCATAATATAACACATCTGAGAAGACCACCACCACCATTGTGGTCAGTGTTGTGCTGGTAAATGTTTAACTGGCTCTCAATCAAAGAAAACAAAACCCTGATTTATACTACTGGTCAATTTCTGTGGCATAAATTCTCCTTCATCAATGGCTGACTTCGGCAGCTAATGTGATGCCACTAAATGCAGAACTGAGGAGAAACATGCAGTAATACACTATTATAATTGAAAGACCCAAAATATATAAATAATGTCAAGAGTCAGAACAGTAAAGTGTAGTAAATAACTGAGAAGTGATGAATTTAGAGTATGTATTAGGTTTGGTTTTAATGTAATTTATTCACTTTTAAGATTATATAATTTACTTTTAATAATGACCATGTTTAACAACCAGCTTACAAAATTCCTGAAAATTTGTGAGCCAGTAAGAGCAGGCCCCAGCACAATACTGAGTGGAGTATATAAGGGCTAAAAGGCATGGCTCATGGATTTGAATGAGACTCAGCCACTTTCAGGTTTTACTGGTCAAATTACCTGATCTCTCTATACCTCAGTGTTCTCAACTGTGTATATATAGTACCTACTGTATAGAGTTGTTGCAAAAATAAAATTGAATCTGTGTATGACACAGCACAGCACCTGAAACAATAATTCACTCAATTTGTTATAAACTTACTTCTTCAATACGTTTTTGTTGACAAAATTACTCTACTCATGCTTAAAAAATGACATTTTATTGATGAGAAAAATATCTTATTTTGTGATCTACATGGAGATAGTCAATTTTGCTTCCTAAGCAGTAAGTAGATGGTAATCTACTACTAGAAATTGAAAGGGGGAAAATTACCTCAATCAACATGATTGAGGCAATGTATTAGCTGGATCATAAAGCAGAGAGGATGACATACATTCTGGGATACATCTGCAGAAAGAGGCTTCATTTCAGGAATTAATTCTGATCAACTAAGCATCAGACTTAAGATGAATGGTAAGGAGGATTCTGAGGGTGCTTCTAGACTTAGCAGGAATAGAGCTTTAATACATAAGCAATAGTTACTATGGTTAATAATGGCAAGAAAAAACACACCATGATCTATACCAGTGTTTCCCAACCTTCTCTCATGATGAGAATCACCTGGTGGAGTTGTTAAAACACAGATTCCTGAATCCCAACTAAGAAGTGCTAAACTAGAATTTTTGGGAACATATAGGTAAAATTGTATACTTAACTAGTGCTCTAAGACAGATTTTATATACAGAGCACTAAGTTAGGTATGCAATTTTACCTATATGTTCTCAAAAATTCTAGTTTAGCACTTCTTAGTTGGGATTCAGGAATCTGTGTTTTAACAACTCCACCAGGTGATTCTCATCATGAGAGAAGGTTGGGAAACACTGATCTATACTACTAAAAGGCTAACATGCTAATTAGACTGGATGAGCACCCGCACATCCTTCCTGACACGCCAGGCCCAGGCTAAGCCGCTTGCCAGTGGTCCTGGGCACCAGCACCTTCTACTGGCTGCATGCAGCCTGGGAGACAGATAAGCCACCACCCGCACTGTCCTGGGCCGCAGCCAGCTAGAGAAGCCGCCCACCCTGCAGTTCCAGGTGCCAGCGCCTGTGGCTGTGGCCCGGGCAAAGCCACCTGCCCACTGTCCCCTATAGCTGCATCCAACCTGGACAAAGCTGGTCCCGGATGCCTATGGCTGGCTGGAGGAGGGAATGCTGGGTCCTGGATGTGAGGTCAAGCAGAGGTGGTTGGGCAATCAAGCCAGCAAGGTAGCAGTTAGTAGCAATCAGGCTGGCAGGTAGAATCAGTTAGGGGCAATCAGGCAGGTAGTCAGGCAAGTGGTTAGGAGCCAGCAGTTCCAAATTGTGAGAGGGATGTCCAAGGTTGGAGAGGGTGCAGGCCAAGCTAAGGGACCACCACCCCACCCCCACCATGCATGAATTTTGTGCATCAGGCCATTAGTTAGTAACATTTCCATCATATATTTAAACAATGGAATATTACTTGGCCATAAAAAAGGAAATCTTACCTTTTGCAATAGCATGGATGGACCTGGAACATGTTATATTAAGCAAAATAAACCAGTCAGAGAAAGAGAAATACCATATGATTTAACTTTTATGTGGAATCCAATGAACAAAATAAACTAACAAACAAAATAGAAACAGACCCGTAGATACATAGAACATATTGATAAGTGACAGAGGGGAAGGGATTTGGGGAGCTGTATGGAAAAGGTGAAGGTATTAAGCAGAGAAAAGAAACTCATACACAGAGACAACAATATGAAGATTATCAGAGGGGGAAAGGTGTGGGTGGAGGAGGAAGAGATCAAAGGGGAGATAAATGGTGATGGAAGAAGACTTGACTTGGTGTCATGAACACACAATACATTATTTAGTGCAGTGGTTCTCAACCTTTCTAATACCGCAACCCTTTAATATAGTTCCTCATGTTGTGTGACCCCCCCAACCATAAAAGTATTTTCCTTGCTACTTCATAACTGTGATTTTGCTACTGTTAATGAATCGTAATGTAAATATCTGTGTTTTCCGATGGATGGTCTTAGGAGACCCTGATAGTGGTTCTCAACCTGTGGGTCGCATGAATTTGGAGGGTACACAATGCAGCTCATAAAAATTCCTAAATATATAATAAGTAAAAAAACACACAAAGGAATTTATACTTAGCCACTAAATATGACACACAGAGTCAAGCCTCGGAACATTTAAGCATTTTAACTTACATATATCTGGCAAGCATCTCTCTCACAATGAGCCATCATCTTGCAGAATATCTTTGACAAATCCAAACACACAGACCTTTAGATTCTATGGAACAATTCATTCACTTAAAAAAATAAAGAGTAATTCATAAACATCTTGATAAAAGCTGAAGGCAAAATGATATTTCAAAATTATGAAACATTTGATTCATAATTTGGGGAACCTCAGAGAAATCTATCTCTAAAGAATCTGAAACTTGTTCTTTCCCTTGCAGTACTACCCATCATAGGTACAAGTTGTACACAAAACAAATTAAAAAAACACATTTTATATTTTCCAAGAAAGAGATAATATTGAATTCTTTTGTAAGTTGTTTTCCACACTTACCTTTAAATGCTGTGTTCAATTTTGGATGGATCTTCTATGTAAGCTACATCAATTGCCCTGTAACATAGCATATACAATATTTTGTGCAAGGAAAATAATTACAAATAATCTTTATGAGTGCTTTACCATTTATTTATATCTTCAAATATTAAACAAATATTTTGGGACAGCAATATTACATTTTGTGCTGACAGCTGGAAGATACAGATGTGCATAACTCATGGACCTGTACTCATGGAGGTTACAGTTTAATGAGATACTCAAATAATGAAATGTGCTATAAAAGACATAAGATTAGAGTGTTACAAGGGCAGCAAAAAGAAGTGGAACAGCTTTGCCTCACTGATATGGGAAAGGTTTCCCATTTTACATTTTATCTACATTATAAAGAATGTTTGGAAGGTTGCTTGAGAAAAGTAGACAAAGTTCACTCCAATGAGAACAAATAGTGTGTAAAACACTATGCTACTAGGGAAGTTGCTAATTATTTAGTAAGCTAATAGTGAATGATGGAGCCTAAAAATGTAGACTAGATTCACATCATTCAGAAGTTTGCATACTATCCTCAGATGTTTGCATTTTATTCTAGAATCAAAGAAGGGGTTTAGCTGTGAAATGACACAATTAGATTTGTGGTTCAGAAACAGACCAAAACTGAACCCATGATCTTTTCCCACTCCAAATTTATTTACAGTCGTTCCCTATCTAGATAACTCCATCCTTCCAGCTACACAGGCTAGAATCCTTGAAGTTATGTTCATATCACTTTTTGCCTCACATCCAGTCAGGAAATCCTTTCAATTCTATCTTAAACTTATATCGAAATCCAAACAGTCTTCATTCTCCTTTACTGCTACCAAAGTTGCCTTCATTTATTACTTGGATTACTAAAATAGCCTATTAACTTGTACCCCTGCTTTCACTTTGTCCACCCCTTGCCTCATACCATCAGGTTTGTTCTCAACATAGAAGCCAGAGCAATCAGGTTAAAATGTTTTTTTCAGATAATTTTACTCTTTTGCTGTAATACAACCATTGACTTCCCATTTCACTCAGAGTAAAAGTCAAAGTCCTTACAATGAATTGCTAATTATTCTACCACCCCCCATTTTCTCTAAATTGGCCTCCTTGCTGTTACTAGAATATGCTACATATATTTTCATCTCAAGGCCTTTGCAGTTCCTGTTTCCTCTGCCAGGAATATTCTTCCCCATGATATCTGCATGAGTTTTGTTTTTCACCTCCTCCAAAATTCACTTCAGTAATAGGAACTCTAACCGTCATATTTGAAATTTCATCACATTTTTCAACAGTTGTTCTTCTTTATTCCTATATTTTTCTCCAAGAACACTTAGCATCTTATACATTTTATTTCACTTATTGTTTGTGTATACCCACTACAATCTGAGCTACATGAGGGAAAAGTATTTTTGTAGATTGTCTTCACTGTTGAAAGTATTACAGATGTCCCTTTTTTTTCCTCATTGACTCTTCTATCCTGAACCCACCCCCTGCCCCAGGCCTGCACAACACTATTGTCTGTGTCTGTGGGTTATGCATATAGTCCTATAAGTTGTTAGTTTATCTCCTCCCAACCATCTACCCAGCCCCATCTTTCCTCTGAGATTTGAAGGTCTTTTCCACATTTCTATGTCTCTGAATCTATTTTGTTCTTTGGATTCCAATATAAATGAGATCATGTGACACTTGCCTTTCTCTGACTGGCTTATTTTCCTTAGCATAATACTCTCCAGTTGCCTCCATGATGTCTCAAAGGATAATGGATCCTTCAACAAAATGAAAACAAGAGCCCACTGTATGGGAGAACATATTTGCCAATGATAAATCTGATAAGTTAATATCCAAATTATATAAAAAACTCATAGAACTTAACAAAAAGAAGATAAACAATCAAATTAAAAGATTGCCAAAGGACCTAAATAGTCACTTCTCCAAAATGGAAGTGCAGATGGCCAAGATACATATGAAAAAATGCTTGAAGTCACTGATCATCATAGAGATGCAAATTAAAATGATAATGAGTTTACACCTCACACCTCTCAGAATGGCACTATAAACAAATCAACAAATGACAATTGCTGCCAAAACCAGTTTGGCTCAGTAGTAGAGCATCAGTCTGCAGACTGAAAGGTCCCAGGTTCGATTCCGGTCAGGGCATGTACGTTGGTTGCGGGCACATCCCTGGTAGGGGGTGTGCAAGAGGCAGCTGGTCGATGTTTCTCTCTCATCGATGTTTTTGGCTCTCTATCTCTCTCCCTTCCTCTCTGTAAAAAATCAATAATATATATATATATATATATATATATATATATATATATATATATATATATATTTTTTTTTTTTTTTAAATGACAATTGCTGATCAGGATGTGGAGAAAAGAGAACCCTAGTGCCCTACTGGGGGAAATGCAGACTGGTACAGCCATTAGGGAAAACAGTATGAAATTTTCTCAAAAAATTAAATATGGGACTGCCATTTGACCCAGTGATACCACTTCTAGAAATATATCCTAAAACAAAACAAGAAACCAATCAGAAAGAATATATGTATCCCTATATTCTGGAAACAGCCCAAATGCCCATCAGTAGATGAGTGGATGAAAGAAAGCTGTGGTACATTTACACCATGGAATACTACGCAGAAGTAAAAAAGGATTAAAAGATTTTGCTTTCTTTTTAATCTTTAGGCATAACACAATTTCTAGAATGGTGCCTGACAAAGCAAGAGCTTATAAATATCTGTAGAAAGTTAAATGAAACTCTAGACAATCATGTGATTTGAGTAGACAAGATCAGTGAGAACAATTTTTTCAATAATTTACAATATTTGCATTAATATTTATTGAGCTAAACATATACCATATAGTTCACATTTTCTAGTTTCTGTGAGGAATAGAAATATTAGAGGCATCACTATGACTACCACTAGTATCATGTGGAATAATAGAGTAGTTTTGCCAAACTGCATGCCTATAACTTGGTTTTTCTTCCTGCCAACATGTCTCCCTTCCTGTCTGTATTATCACCATTTTCAAATCTTATTATATCAATTTTCACTTCCAGTTTTATCACTTTTGTTTCTTCACAACACTTTCACCAACTTTTGGTCAATTCCCTCTTTTGATTACCCATTTTTATAAAATATTACATGAGTTTATAATTAGGAGTCAGTAGGCAACACAACTATACATTTTTTACTGCCTGTGCATGAACTGAATAACATGCTGTGACCAATCAACAAAAGACTTTGAAAGATAAGGCATGATTAATAACTGATCATAATGTGCATCTGTTAATTTGCATAGTTATTTGTGGGATTAAAAGCTAGCAGAAAAGTTTGAACTTTATGCAATTACTCAGTTATTATAATCTGATAATAAATTTAAACAATCATTTGGGAACTGGTGTTATTTAAATTGTGAGTAACCAAAATGCAAGCATATTAGATCTATGCATAGCAAAGATTGCCCCTGTGTGTGTGTGTGTGCGTGTGTGTTCCATAAAAGTATTATAGACAGACATATTGAATATTATGTAATTTTAGCTGTTTTAATTTTTATTAAAAGATTGTATTGCTGTATTAAATCTTATGAAATTTATCATTTTACCTATGTCATATATTAAAATTATATAAAATCATGAGTCTGTCTCCAAGTTATTTATCCTATTCTTTTCTTTACCTATACCACATGCTTAATTACAATAATTTTATATTAAGTTCTGATATTGGTAATGCATGTATGCCCTTGTTTTCTGAAACATTATTCTTATAAATTTTAGAATTATCTTATCAAATTTCATGAAAAGAGTGTTGGAATTTTTATCCAAATGATAATGAAGCTTGAATTAGACTGGAAGCAATAAGGTTATTACCAAATGATTTCCAGTGTTTGCCATATGTAGTAGTCACTGATCTGTCTCCACTTTCTCAAACTATAAGCACCATTCAACAATGTTGACCATTTGCTTTCCTCTTTCTACCTCCAAAATGCATCTGAAGTCTGTCCACTTCTTTGGTCTGCACTACTACCCTTGTATAAAGTGACATTAACTTTCACCTAGACCACTGTAATATCTTTCAAAATAGTTCTGTTTTTTTATTTTGTTTCCTATCATCTGTTTTTCCTAAAAGGAACCAAAGTGTGCCTTAAATATAATCAGAGTATATTATACTAGAGGTCCAATGCATGAAATTCATGCAAGTGTAGGTCTTCCTTCTCCCAGCTTCTGGCACCAGCTTCCCTCTGGCACCCAAAACTCTGGCTTCGCTCCAGCCACAGGCAGGCACCCAGGACCTGGGCTTCCTTCCCAGCCCTGACTTCATCTGGAAGGTCATCTGGAAGGACACCCAGAAGGATGTCCCATCTAATTAGTATACTACACTTTTGTTATTGTAGGTTATTTTCATATCCTTTCAATAGTTTCTCATCACATTTACAATAAAATTCAAATTACTTACAGGGCCTTCAGAGTCCTATGTAAATCATCTTTCTCTGATTGCTTGCCATCTTTCTATCTGTCTGACACGCTAAGTCTTTTTCTGCCTTGAAGTTTCACTTTAAACTCTTCCCCAAGATCTCACTCTAATGCCATCATATAACTATCTAAACTAGTCCCCAGTTTCCTCCATCAACTCTTTTTTTTTTCATTATAGAGGATGATTTTTTTGTTTTTGTTTATTTCCTGTCTCCCTCCAATTGAACATAAACTCTTTGAGAAAAGTGACTTTATATGTCTCATTACTACTATGTTCCCATGGTCTAAAACAGTGTCTGGCATGTTGTGTCTGCTAAAAAAAATAATTGTTATTGAGTCGATGAATGAACAATAACTTATCTTTCCATAATTTGAATTGTTTCCAATTACCAGCATTGTGCTTCCATTAATGTTTTATATGTAAATGTTTTCCTATTTTAAAAAGGTAGGATAGATATCTAAAAATATAATTGTGTCAAAAGATACATATATTTGAGGGTTAAAATATGCCAAAAACTTATTTTCAGAAAGACTATAATAATTTTTAATCTTTTAAAATAGTATTTATTAATTTTAGAGAGGAAGGAAGAGGGGGAAGAGATAGAAATATCAATGATGAGAGAGAATCATTGATCGGCTACCTCTTGCATACCTTCTAGTAAGGATCAAGCCTGCAACCCAGGCATGTGCCTTTGACTAAAATTGAATGTGGGACCCTTCATTCTGCAGGCTGACACTCACCAGCCAGGGCAATAATTTCTACTTTTATAAGCAACATTTGAGTGCTAATTTTCATCAATACTATTGCCATCTATTAATCCATAATTATTTAATACGCCAAAATGATGTACCATTGCTATTTTAATTTGCAGTTATTTGATTACTGAAAAGATTGAGCAAGTTTTAATACAGTTATGCTTTATATACTTTTAATATATTTTTGTGAATTAGTTGTTCATATCCTTTGGCCATTTAATTTTACATAGAATACAGGGGTGGGCAAAAGTAGGTTTACATGATAAAATAAATAATACAATAATCAATAAATAATAAAAAATAAACTCTGTTTCACATACCACTGTAAACCTATTGTTGACCACCCCTGTATATATGGCAGTAGTTAGATCCAGAACCTATAGAATCAATCCTCTATAGCCGGATTGCCTGCATGAGCTTCAAATTCCATCACTACAATTTACTAGATTTGAGTCTGGGCAAGCTATTTGATTTCTCTGTGCCTTAGTTTATGCAAGTATAAAATGATAATAATAATAGTATCTGCCTCATAAGCTTATAGTGACAATTAAATGAGTCACTAGAGGTTTAAAAAAATCAATTAGAATGCTATCTCGATCTTAGTAAGCATAAAAAAAATATTGGTCTTGGATCTCTATCTTACATTGTACTCAAAAATAAAATGGATTGAAGATTTAAACATAAGACCTGAATCATAAAACTTAGCAAAAAACTTAAAGGAAAAGCATCTTGGCATGATCTTGGCAATTATTATTATTTTTTTTTGTACTGAGAGCAAAGGCAATACAGGCAAAAAATCAACAAAAGGGACTACATCAAACTAAAAAAGATTCTGAAAAGGCAGCCTATGAAATGAGAAAAAATATTCACAGACCATAGATCTGATGATGGGTTAATATTTAAAATATATAAGGGACCTTTATAATTCAATAGCAAAAAAAAAAAATCTAATTTAAAAATGGGTAAAGGACCTAAATAAACTTTTTTTTCCAAAGACATACAAATGGTCAATGGGTATAAGAGAAAATATTTTGTATCACTAATCATTGAAAACTGCAAGTGAAAATCATGAGATATCACCTCATGTATGTTAGAATGTCTATTATAAAAAAGACAAGAGAACAAATGTTGGTTAAGATGTGGAGAAAATGGAACCATTGGGAATGTTGGTGTGAATGCAAATTGATAGACCAATTATGAAAAACTGTATGGGTTCCTAAAAAAATAAAAAATAGAACTACCATATGATTCAACAATCCCACTTCTGGGTATACATTCAAATGAAACAAAATCACTGTCTCAAAGAGATGTCTGTACTCCTATGTTCATTGTAGCATTATTCAGAATAGCTGAGGCCTGGAAACATGTCTATTGATGGATGAGTGGATAAAGAAAAATGTGACATATATTTTATTATGAGCAATAAATGACATAATACATGTAAAACCAAAAATTTAACTATCATTATTACTATGACTAGAGGCCTGGTGCACAAAATTCATGCACAGGGGCAGAGTTGGGGTCCCTCAGCCAGCGTGCAATGATGCAAGTTTTCTGCACCAGACCTGGCCAGAGGCGCTCCATGGCCAGGCGCAGAACGCTTGCCTTATCACTGGGCCGATGATGAAAGCATTGCCCCTATTGAGCCGCTCCATGCCTGCTGCCCAGAGGCCCTCTGCGGTTGGGGTGGAAAGCTTACCTCATCACTGTGGAAACAAAGCAAGCATTCTGCCAGGCCACTCATGCTGCCTGCTCTCAGTGGCTGACCCCCTGGTAGTGGGAGCCTCCAGCGGGGCTGAGAGGACTGGGTGCTGCCATCTTGTGGCAGAGTGATATAGCTAATTTGTATATTCCCTCTTTATTAGAAAGGATTTCATAACTGTAACACTGGGAATATCCAAATATATAAAAACCCTGGGTCTATCACATACACAAGGAGCAGAAGCTTTGACCTAATGCTGAGGCTGTGCATGCAGCAGACTCTGGTAGATGGGGACTTGTGCCAGTGGAGATGAGGATGGGGGAGGTGGGGCCAGAACTCACACTCACTCACAACCACACACGTACAGACACACACAGTACCCACCAGCTCACTGCTTTTTCTCCCTTTCTTTCCCTCTCTCCCAGCTCACTCTTAGAACCTCTCTCAGAATTAGGAAACAAAACAGATTGAGTCTGAAGAGGCCTGGATGGAAGGGAGGGCAGGTAGAGGGTGGAACAGCCCCCACTGGCGCCACCCCCTACCATTCTGGAAAGAGGAAGAGGAAGACAGGGAGGCATGGAGGTCTGGAGGACTGCTGAGGAAAAGAGAGACAGAGATTGCGCAAGATCAGGGCAGCAGGGGGGGACAGATGGGGGCAACCAGGCTGGCAGGGGAAGGCAGTTGGGGGCAAGATCAGGCTGGCAGGGGAGGGCAGTTAGGGGTGATCAGGCAGGCAGAGGCAGTTGGGGCCAAGATCAGGCTGGCAGGGGAGAGCAGTTGGGGACAAGATTAGGCCAGCAGGGGAAGGCAGTTAGGGATAATCAGGCAGGTAGACAGAAGCAGTTAGGGGCAATCAGGCAGGCAGGCAGACAGAGGCAGTTAGGGGTGATCAGGTAGGCAGGCAGGTGAGGGGTTAGGAGCCAGTGGTACCACATTGTGAGAGGGATGTCCAACTGCTAGTTTAGGCCCGATTCCACAGGAATCAGCAGTTAGACATCACCCGAGGGGTCCCTGATTTGAAAGGGTGCAAGCTGAGCTGAGGGAACCCCCCATGCATAAATTTCATGCACTGGGCCACTAGTATATTGTATAATAGCATAAAATATATGGTATCACAAAAATGTATACACATTTTAATAGCTGATAGATCAGTTTTGAAAATTAAATCTATTTTAATAAACCTAGCCTTTATAATTATTCAAAGTGTTTATATATTTTTGGGACACCATATATATATATATATATATATATATATATATATATATATATATATGAAATATTATTATTCAGACTTTTAAAATAATGGAATCTTAGCATTTGCTACCTGGATGACATTATGCTAATTGAAATAAGCCACTCAGATAAAGAGAAATAATATATGATATTGCTTATATGTGGAATCTAAAACTAATTTTGAACTCATAAAAGCAGAGTAGAGTAAACTGGTGTTTGACAGGAAATAGAAGCTGGTTGAAATAAGGTGAGGTTGGTCAAAGGGTACACACTTTCAGTTATAAGATGAATAAGTTCCAGGGATTTAGTGTATAATATCATGATACAGTTAATAATACTGTGTTGTATATTTAAAATTTGCTAAGAGAGCAGATCTTAACCATCTGACCACAAGAAAAGTAACTATGTGAGATATGGATGTGCTAATTAAATTGATCATAAAAATCATTTTACAATATATATGTACTAGTGGCCCAGTGCACAAAATTCGTGCACGGGGCGCGGGGATGTCCCTCAGCCTGGCCTGCACCCTCTCTAATTTGGGAACCATCAAAGGATGTCCTACTGCCAGTTTACAGAGATCAAGCCTAAACTGGCAGTCAGACATCCCACTTGCAATCCAGGACTGCGGGCTCCTAACTGCTCACCTGCTTGCGTGCCTGATTGCCCCTATCCACTCTGCCTGATAACCGGCTCACCCCTAACTGCCCCCCAACGCTGGCCTGCTTTCTCCCAAATGCCCCCTGACAGCCTGATCACCCCAAAATGTTCCCTATGCCAGTGTGATTGCCCCCAACAACCCCCCTACCAGCCTGCTTGCCCCTAATTTTCCCCCTGCTGACTTTCTTGCCCCTACCTGCCCTCCCCACTGGCCTACTTACCCCCAACTTCTCCCTTGCTGGCCTGCTCACTCCAAACTGCCCCCTACTGTACTGATCACCCCCAACTGACCTCCGCTGGCCTGATCAACCAAATCCCGCCCCCACTAGCCTGATCATTCACAACTGCTATCCTATCCTGGCTTGATCACCCACAACTGCCCATCCCTCTTGGCCTCTAACCACCTCTACCTAAGCCCAGACACCATGGCTTTGTCCAAAAGAATGTCCATAAAGTCTCCTGGAAGGTCTTTCAGTCTAATTAGCATATTACCCTTTCATTAGTATAGATAGAGGCTTGGTGCATGGTTGGGGCAGGCTGATTTGCCCTGAAGGGTATCAGGATTGGGGTGGGGGTCCCTTGTGGCATGGGGTAGCCTGGGAGGGAGTAGCCTGTGGTGGTTTGAAGGCCAGCCAGGCTCCCATTGGATGAGGGTCCCTGATGGAGGGGTGTGGTCAGCCAGGGTAAGGGGTTGAGGGCTGTTTTCAAACTGGCCACACCTCCTTCAGGGTGGAGCTCCCCATTGGGGTGCCTGACCAGCCTGGGTGAGGGGCTGATGGTTATTTCAAGCCTGGCTATGTCCCCCAGCAGGGATCCTCACCCCATGGGGGCATGGCCAGCCTGGATGAGGGGCTGAGGACTGTTTTCAGGCTGGACACGTCCCCCAGAAACCCAGGCTCCAAGCCATTCCTTCTATGGAGGCCTGGGCAGGTGGGAAGCCTGGTTTCCTCTGTCACCAAGGGTAACCCAAGCCTCCTTCTCACTCCAGCTCTATGGCCCCTGACATTTTTGGGGGGTTAATTTGAATACTCACTTTTGACTGGCTGGTGGGCATAGCGGAGTGACAGTCAATTTGCATGTTTCTATTTTATTAGTTCAGATATGAAATCATCATATTTCCAACTATTTGTAGATGTGAGGATATCACTGGACAGAAGATATTAATTTAATTTTTTTAATCTAATTAAGTCATTATATTCTTAGGTAAATCATGATAAGTATTCAACCTAGAAATGGACAAAGGATACTTTAAAAGTAATGATGGGATTGTTTATTCTTTGGAGGCAAAATAACACCAAAGTTCAGAGACTTGATTCAGTTTTATGAAGATTAAGAGTATGTAGAGGCTATAAATAGCAGTAAATAATTAAAGTTTTATCTATGTAAAATCACTGCAAATTAACTTATATCACAATTTCCTTTGTATAGCATGTATAAACCCATGGAATAAAACTGGAGATTTAATCTATAAATATTTTTTCCTTGTGGAAACCAAGAGGTGCTAGTGTTGGTGTTGACAACCTAGAAAAAACAACTTTCATTGTCTTAGTATCAGTGTTTGAAATCTGAGTATTCTCCCTTCTAGATTCATATATATATAAACAGTAATATGAATCCTGGCAGTTGACATGATATACTAATATTCATATAGCTCATTGTCACACTTCCATTGGAGAGACATGTTGGGGAAAAGTGAACTATACAAATACAAATAAAACCCATTCCAGCTACATATAAAGAAAATATGTTATCTATTTTATTCCTAAATATAAATAATAAGAAAGGAATACTTGGCATTTGGAGAAAAAAATCTAGTAGTATAGAAGAAAGCCAAAGCAAACAAAATTATTGAGCTTAGGAAAAATAAAGATATATGATATAAAAAATGAACATATGCAAAAAAAGAAATAAAATACACATATGCACACATACAATACTATATAAATACTGTAAAAGTTTACAAAAACATTGCACATATAATTTAATAATATGATGTAATGAAGAAAAATCGAGTAATAACTCAGAATAACTTTGAAATTAAATATACAATACCAAATATTAAAAAAAAAAAGAATCTCTTACCCTTTGGGACAGCATGGATGGAACTGGAGAATATTATCCTCAATGAAATAAGCCAATCTGAGAAAGACGGTCTTAATTATCACATGATCTCACTTATTTGTGAAATCTAATGAACAAAACAAGTTGACCAACAAAATAAGACCTGGAACATGGGGTCATAGAACAGACTGACATACCTCTATGTGGGGTTGGGAGAATGTAAGAGTAAATCAAAGAGCTGATATACGTAGATGCATAGCCCATGGACATAGGCAATAGGATAGTGAATAACTGGAGGGAAGGTAGAGGCTGGGAGGAGTGGGGTAAAGAGAAGGAAAATGGGGGATATCTGTAATACTATCAATAATGAAAATGTATTTAAAAAAAGAAAGGGTATAAAAGATGGAGTCAAGGGCAATTTCCCAAAATAAAAATCAAAGTATTGAAAAAGATAGAGACTATGAAAATAGATAGGAAATAAATCAAATCAAGTCAGAAGGTCCAATATCTAATAAAAGTGTCACAGAAATTCAATAAAATAGGACAAAATTATAAAGAAATAATTCAAAAAACTACCTGACCTGAAAAAAAAATGTGCTTTCTAATTGAAAAGGCTCTCTGAATGCCAAAAGAGAGGCATGAAAAATAAAAACATACTTAAAAACAATATGGTGAAATTACAGTAGACTAATACAAAAAAAAGTTTCTAAAATTTTCTTAAGCAGGAAAAATATTCAACATAATGAAATAATAATTATACTAGCATATGTTTTCTCTTTGAATAAAAATGGAATGTAGCATAAATTATAGCATGAATTCAACATTTTTAGCAAATTTACACTGAATCATAAATCAACCATGAGAAATTAATAAAGCTATTTTCAGATATTTAACTACTCATAAAATTCATTATTCACTTAGCATTTATAAAAGAATTATGAGTGTACTTTTGCAATAACAGCACAGATAATATAAGAAAAAAGAGAAATATTGGAAATATTCCAAACAATCTACCTAATAAAAGAGTAACATGCTAATTGACTGTACCTTCACGATGCCCACCAGCCAATCAGAAGTGAGTATGCAAATTAACACAACAAAGATTGTGGATTGATTTGCATATGAGGGTGCCAAATGGCTGGGGGCAAGGCAGGACACTTGCATCATCATCATGGCAACAGAGCAGGTGTTCCGCACCACCCCTGGCTGCTCTGAGCCTCTGAACAGCATAGGAAGGCAGAAAGGCAGTGGTTCCCAGCCTGAGCAGAAAGGCAGCTCTGGCCAGAGCAAAGGCAATCCTGG